ATCTCTTTATTTTGGTTTTAAAAAGTACAGTTTTGATTCTTAATATTCTGCCTCTAAAGTTGAAACTAAAACAAAAGGATTTAATGAGAATATTGTCTCAGAAACATGGGAAAAGGAAAAATGTGACATTGATTTAGGTCAGATTAAAGCATGACTGTAAAATTCTGTTTTTGTTGAAATTTTTAATAACCCAGACTCTGTTCAATATAGTTCATACCAAACCCCTACTTTCCTAAACAGAGTATTGTAACTCTGCACTACTATGAGTTTGGACTTAGGACTTCAAAATGTTTTAAATAAAAACACTGAAAAATAGCCCAAGAGTATATAAAACTTTTGACTACAAAGATGGAAATATGGAAATGTTTTTTAAAGTTTTGTGTAATATTTTGATAGTTTAATAAATAAATGTATAGCACCTGTCCCTTGTTACCACCAAATACCTTTTTAGTAATATGAAGGTGGCTAAAACTGAAAGTAAGAAATTTACGAGAAATGAGTAGCTTTTTAAAAGTAATTGAAATAGTTTCTTTTTCTCCAAAATATTGTGACTTTGAAAGATACTGGCCTTAGATTCAGAATAAAAAGTTGTGTTTGTAATGTTTTCATGTATTTCTCAAATATTTATAGAACTGCATTATTGAGGTATGGTTAAATTTGAAATGGCATATCATTCACTGCTTTGTTTTCTTTCTTTGAACAGTTAAAAGATGTTGATACTCGGAAAATCATAAAAGCAATGCTTTCTTATGTGTGGCCCAAAGACAGGCCAGATCTAAGAGCCAGAGTTGCCATTTCCTTGGGATTTTTGGGTGGTGCAAAGGTAAGAATAAGAGAAACTATACATTGTATGTTGCTATAACTAAGAAATAAGACATTTTCTAGGCGTGAATTCTGGACTGCTATAAACCACTTTGGGAGGAACATGGCCAATTTTTAGGACTCTCATGTAGTTTACATAATTATTGTATTCAGTCAGCAGAAATTATATGGCAATGCCCAATTTATCTCTGGACCAGACTTCTGAAAGCCTCAACTTAATGGAATTCACTCCTGAAGCCAGTGTAATATATAAGAACATTGATTGTAACAAAGCATAAGCAACTTTATAAAAGAAGCTCCTCAGAGCCTCATTGGCTCCTTTTTAGTACATATTATTTCTGATAAGTTTGGTTCCCCAATCCTGGTAAATTGAAAATAGCATG